TGATCCACTTTCAATAAGATATCTTCTATAACTCCTTTAGGATATGTTATCAGAGTTACAAGTAACTGCAGAGTTACAATAGTAGGGGATATTTCTCCTAATCTTAATCTTTTAAATGTTGATAATGGCATAAGGTTAATGCTTACACCTAAATCACATAAAAGTTTCTCATAAAATTTGTCTCTGATTGCACATGAAATTGTGAAGCTACCAAGATCTTTAAGCTTTTTAGGAAGCTTTGTTTGAATTTTAGCACTGCACTCCTCACTATGTACAATAGTCTTGTTATCTTCAAACTTTTTTTTCCTGTTAAGAATATCATTCATAAACTTCACATAGCTTGACATTTGTTCTAAGGCTTCAGCAAATGGAATATTGATTATAAGTTTCTTAACAATTTTCATAAATTTTAAAAATTGTTTATCTAACTTCTATTGACGGAGCCTCTGAGAAAATGAAGGTGGTGGTTTTTCCCAGTCAACTTTAAGTGAAGAAATAGGTCTCTCTCAACATTTTGAAGGGTCCTCTTGAGACTGTTGGTCCTTCAATCTCTTCTCTCTCTACTTCAGTCGCTTTTTGAACTCTTCCTTCCAATTCTCTTCTGCTTCTAAGTTGAACAACGTTTACTTGTTATTTATTCTTGTCTTTTGGATTTACTTCAGTATTACTAAGAAGTGTTCCTTGGGATCTATTACTTAATGAATTTGTTATTTGTTTCAATTGATTCTCAATATTTCTAATTGTAGCTCCTTGACTTTGTAATTGATTTCCCATTTGTAACACCACTTCTTCTATAGATAATTATTTCTCCTTAAATTGTGGATTACTGTTAAAACCCGGAGTATAAGTTGGTTTATAATTACTATTACCTTGGTTGTTCCAGTTTCCGAATGGGTTTACTTGGTTGTTCCCCCATTGCTCATTATTACCTCCTGAAGTATTATTCCAGTTAAAGTTGGGATGGTTCTTCTAACTTAGGTTTTGAATATGGGTTATTCTGCTTGTTGTTTATGACATTCAAAGTTTCTAATGATTCTTGAGAATCTACCATTTGGTCTAATGAATTTTCTTCAATCATTGAAATTGGTTGAGAAAAATTCATTCCAAATGGGTCTAACTTCCTTGAAATTGCAACAACTTGATTTGCTAAAATTGTAAATGCATCAGATTCATGAATATTGGTTACTTTCTTAGGATTTACCCTTTCAGAAGGCCATTAAAAATTATTGGTAGTCATTTCTTCAATTAAAGCATAAGCGTCATAAAATGGTTTTGACATCAATGAACCATCAACAACGACATCGATAATAGATCTAAGAGATCCATCTAATCCATTGTAAAAGGTTTGAATTATTAACCAATTTGGTATAGCATGGTGTTGACACTTTCTCAGTAGTTCTTTAAATCTTTCCCATGCTTCATAAATAAATTCACCTTCAAACTGACAAAACGATGTAATATCATTTCTAAACTTCACAGTTTTTTTATGATGGAAAATATTTAGCAAGGAATTTCTATGCTAAATCACCCCAAATTCTGATAGATCCATGTGCTAACAGATGTAATCATATCTTAGCTTTATCCCTTAGTGAGAAAGGGAAAAATCTAAGTTTATATCATCATCTGATACACCATCATATTTAAATGTAGCACACAATTCTAGAAAATTGACAATATATAAATTTGGATCTTCAGTTGGTGCTCCCCCAAAATGATTATTGGATACCACTTGGATAATAGCGGGTTTAAGTTCAAATGAATTAGCCACAACAATGGGTTTTTAAATACAACAATGAAGTTCATCCACCGTAGGGTTTGCATAATCTCTTAAAAGGTCTAAACTCTTCAGTATTTTTATTTATTTGATTTTTCATTTCTTGAATTTTTTTATTTTCTTCAGTAATTTTTAATTTTTTAATTTTCTAATAGTTCTTTCTAATTCATAATGTAAGGCACTAGTCTTGTAGAAATTGAAATACACAGACATTACTATAAAACACATAAAATAAAATAAAAATACACAAACAAGAACTTTATATAAAAACAACACTACAATATTTCTATAATAAATCTAAAAATTTAAATAAAATTAAAAATTTTGCTTTCTAAAAATCTTTTAAAAATTTTGCAATTCTCGTTAATTTTCCCCAGCAACGGCGCCAAAAAAGTTGATCCTGATTCTCTTTATAGATGTCAATGCGATGTATGCGATTATATGCTTAATTTTTATAATTATAATTCTTAACTTACAACAAAGCCAAAAACTTGATTCCAAGCAAAAGCTAGGTAAATTCTTAATTTAAAAGCAAGAAAGAATACAATTATAATATCAAATATGTGATACTACACAAGTATACATATCGTTATCAAGTAATATGAGTTATCAAGTAATATGCGTTATCAAGTAATATGAGACTTTTTTATTAAGCCTCGAATATCGAACCCACAAGGAAAATATAATATGTACTTCATAAAATAGGAGAAATTAGATAATAAAATTCTACTTAGCAAAAAATTCTTATTTAAACTCTAGATACTAAAATAGAAATGAAAGTTCAATTCTTTTTGTAATTTTTGAGTATTGAGAATAAAGTAAGCAACTAACTAACTTAACTAGATATTTGCAAAATGAAGGCAATATAAATAAAATATCTTTTTCTTCATCTTGAATCAGTAAAAAAGTATAAGAATTCTATTGTGAAATTATTTTAATTGTGTTGTGCCAAATATGAACAATAATATTCTTTACCCTTACTAGAGATGCTATAAAGAACGTTGGCTAATTTATACTTTAAATAGTCATGAAGACGGGTTAGATAAGAAAGATACTAGCTCTCACTCTAGAGTTCCCTTTTCTCCATCCACCTGGGGGCTAACCTGGGGGCTAACATGGGGGCTAACATCTCATATAAAAACCTAAAATTATAAATCAAATTGGGGGCTTTAGTTTGTCACTCTAAAGTCCTCTAGTTCTATACCCTTCAAAGTTTATTTTCCTATTTATTTGCATTCAACCCCATGAACTACATTCTCATTCATGAAATCAAATGCGATTCTTATCATTTATTGACGCCATTTGTTGACTGAGACAATATCATCTCGGATCTTACATGTTCTCGCAATAGGTATTAACACCTTAATTTGTCAAATCAAGAAGTAAATGAAGTATAAGATTTAACATCATCACAACTTCTTCTAACATTTAAGTCTAATACTTCACACAACTTCCCTCCAATACTTAATCACTTACCAATTTAAGGAAAAAGATAAGAAATCTACTTAGAATTCATGGAGAAAACATAACCACACTTGAGTTTGAAAGTAGCAATCATGCACACAAACAAGAAGTCTAAATTAAAACAAAATATAGTCACAAAGATAAAAAATTATCTGAAATTGCTCTCCACCAAATGTCTTGAAGTTTTTTTGAGTCTCTTTAATTCTCTTCCTTCACTCACAATACAAAATACAACTCAAAATAAAAAGAAAAGATGGGCGGCAGTGGTGGCGATAGGCGGCGGCGTATGTGGTGGTTGACACTGGTTGGTCTGGATGGATGGATGATAATTGGCCTCTTCCATGGATGATCTAAGTCTTCTTTTATAACAATCCAAGATGTGCTTAGGCGTCTCCTTAAAATGTGTCCTCATTCAATGAATCTTCTAGAAGTTGCCTCCTTTCGAAAGAAAATTGAATGAATTTTTGTGTCCATTAACTATTTCCCACTTTTTTACCAAGGGTTGCTTCAAACACCTCTTCAAAAACTCGTCCAAATTCAATGAATCTTCAAATAACTACTTCTGGCGCTTAAGCGCGGGGTACCTGACGATTAGGTGTGGTTCTCTCTGTTTAACTGACGTGTAAGCGTCAGACTTGGGCGTTTAGGCGCCACAGTTCATTTTTGCACATTCTTTATTTCTCAAATTTGATTCTTTTTCACTACTTTCATAATTTTTCATCCATTTGATTGTACCTTAAAAAAACACACAAATACCTTTTATTAAAGCACAATATCTCAAAAAAAGGTATAAAAATATGTACATAAAGACTATATATTTTAATTGTACCAGAGAGCAATGGAAGAATGATTAGAATATTCACGTTAAACTTTAGGATATGAAACAAAAGTAAACTATAGGGAGATGCAAATATATATGGAAATAATATTTGATGGGTTCAAATTGGGGTTTAAGGAATTAAAACCAGTTTAACTAAACTTCTTTTTGCACTCGGGAGGGGATAAAGATGAGAACTGCTCCTATTTGTCATTAGTCACAATTTCAATTTAAAGTATTCATTTTCTTACACACTACTTAAATCATTGCAAGGGAGGGTAGTTTTATATATTGGTTATCACCAATTCAAATATATTTAGTAGGATCACTGTAGGAGTAAATCTTTAATTGTAGTTTGTAATTTTGTAGAACTAGTTAGCACAAATTAAAACCAACTTTATTTCCAGGCTAAGACTAATTTTAGTAGACTAAAACTTCTCTTAAGTCTAAATGCCATATTTAAACATGAAATGATGCTAGCCAGCGGATATAGGCAAGCACCAAATGACATATTAGTGAGATCTCATCTTAATGCACGGGGCGACTTTTTCGTTGATTCTTTTCACGAGATCCCATTAGAACTTTCTCACATCTTCCTTCTAGACGTTGACATTCACACGCGGTAGGTCCCATCATTTCTCCTTTCAGAGAGATCCAATCCAAGTTTGTTATCCTCTTTTTTTGTGGTTGAGGGTTTTGTTATTTTGGGAAGGTAAAAACAATGAGAGTTTTAGGACTAGGAATACAAAAATGACAAAAATTTTAGAAAGGTGAGAAGGGTATTAATTAAGAGGCGATTATTGTTAATAAATAAATTTAGGCGTACTAAACAATATTATTTCAAGTGATAATGGTGCGTCTATACATCCCTCAAATAAATATATAAATATTAAAGTAATATATGTCTGAAGGGGGTGCACATTAAATTAGTGGTAATTTGCAAGGTCACCTTGTCCTCGATGTTTCTTGTGCTTGTAAAATATGTAATATGTAATATATAATCCCCAAATTGGGTAATTTGAAGATAGCAAATTGCTGCCCTCCGGTTTCTCCTTTCCCTTGCTTCCCTACTTTGTTTTTCCGAACGATTCCTTCTTGAATTGAAAGGGAAGACAGCTTGAACCAACGATTCCCGTGGAAAGGAATCCGTTGCCGCCGGATATCTGCTTGTCGGCATATTTCTGGTCCTAAGGTATCTCGCTGCTCTCATGTGATTTTCCCCATTTCTGAACGCTGATTCTCACGTTCAATCGATAATGGGATCCTGTTTCCAATAAAACTCTTGATATCGATTCCATGTATTTTTGTTGTTTTTATACTTTTGTCTCACGATTAATTGTGTAGACTGTTATCCCAATTGTGTTTGTCAGATCGGTGGTCGAGATTCCATTTATAGGTACTGAAATGTGAAGTTTAATAGATGAGTATCTGTGATAACAAGTCAAATGGTTGGCATGTTCCTCTTTGAATAAGTTTTTGTCCAATCTTTCTGAGGTGAAAGTTGTAGGCGGAGAACTCTATTGTCCTAGCCGGTTGGTGATTTTTTTCTTCTTTAATGCAATGAAGTGCCAAAATCAGAGGGCTTGGTAGTTCGTTGTTATGGTTTATTGACATATTTGGGTTACATGGAATTCCATATGATAAGATTTTATAGTTCAATTCTCTCCTTTTTTAGCAGATAGTTTGCTTGATACGTTGTTTTTTTCTTAAATAATGTTTTGGGAAACTGCTGTAGGTCTGATTTTGGTCCTTTGATGTATATATAACTAAACTTCTCAAGTTTGCTTTGTGCTTACAGTGGGTGAGGCAGTCTTCTTTTGTTTGTACGACCAATTTTGTTTCATAAGAGAAGAATCATAATTCCACACACTATGGTATTTAATTAACGAGCACACATGTTTGCAAGGTCTTTTAATTAAGAGGATTTAGTTACAATTTTTTTTATTTAGATTTAAAGTTTCATTGTGACGTGGGACTATTGTAGAAAGATTAGTAAGGAAAATGGAAACTAAATTTAACTTGATTCAAAGTTGTATAAAATAGAGTTAAGGGTAATGAGTCCTAATACTTTTTCTCACTTGAAGTAATGAAGATGCTGAATTTCAAAACCCTTGTTTCTCAAAATTTTCCTATATAAAATCATACTATATTATGCACATTTTGTTAATTGCTATAAAAAATGGAAATAGCTGTGTTGTCCGGATTACAAACCGCCTCCTATTGTTCTCTATACTGTTCCTCCTCAACTTGGTTCTTCTTTGATTGCATAGTGACAAGCGGTCGTAAAGGCGAGTGAACATGATAACAAGAGGTTGGGCTGTAGAGTACAACACGGTGTTGGAGAACAATTATAATAACCTATCTTAACCCCCTTTTTCTAAATTGGACCTGCCCAACCTAGTTCCCTCCCCCATCGCCTTAGCCGAACCGTTTTTTACCTCAAATTGGGATCCTAGGGTGATCATAAGAGAGCGAGTGAGTCGGAGAGATTGAGCAAACGAAGAGCAAGCGATGAGTGGGAGGAAGGTGGTTGATCTAAAATAGAGCAATAATGGACGGTGGCTCTTAGGATACACAACATGGAATCTAGATTGAGGAAGAAATTTTGATTCAATGGCTTTGTTGGCTTCAACTTATTAGGCGAGATTTATGGAGAGGATGTTGGGGAAGGCAAAAAAGAATAGAAACACTATATGTTTTTCTCTATTATTTTCCTTCTTTGCCGTTGTGATCTTCTTTGTTCTTGGAGAAACTAGGTAAGCTCTTAAAATTTTACTATAATAATTTTGTTTGTTATTTGGCAATGAATTCGGATTGTGCTAGGTGGCTTATTGAAAGATAATTGACATTATATTTGAACCAATATCCTTAATTTTTTTTTCTTCTTTCATGAGAAATTATGGAAATTCATATATACATATGTATATGTAGCTAAAAATATTTTATTGGATTTTTATAATTAATAATACTTCCTGCAAAGTATTACTAATTTCCTTTAATAAGCCCTTATTAGATAGGAGGTTTGTTAAGTGTAGAATTCTTGATTTTGATGAGCTCAATCATGGGTGGAGATATATTGTTCTTATTATAATGAAGGTATAATTCCCCAAGCATGTTCTTCTTGATAAAAGCATTTGATGGTGATTGTATTTTCTTAATGGAATTCTTTATGCAACTCAAAAGAGAATTTGATTATTAGTTTAGAAGATGGGGTTTGAAGGAAACATGAAACCATGGTCAATGATATTCACTATATAAAGCATTATATAACACATCAATAGTTGGAATTCATTAATAAGAATAAATTGGGGAAAAATTCAAAATTATTTCCTTTTGGAATATGCTTAAAGTGGTTGTATTGACTATTTCATAGGATCATATATATATCTCTGTGTGTGTGCGTGCGTGTGCGTGCGTGCATGTGAGTGTGCGTGCGTTCTTGTGTGCGTGCGTGTGAGTGTGTGTGCGTGCATGCATGTGTGCGTCTGTGCATGTGCGTCTTTATATACATGTATATATATTGTTAGGTTTGTTATATTAATAGTTGTATAAATTTTTAAGAAGTTTATGTTTATTGTTTTGATTAGTGAGAATTATTTATTGGCCATATATCATAAATTATTTTAACAGTGTTAGATGATAATATAATCTGCATTAATAATTTTTTTTGTATTTTTAAAATTACATAAGCTGTGCTTGTGGGCATAATACATGTATTGTCAGTAAATTCCTTTAGGGAATTTGTTGATGACTCTTTTGGAAATAGTTGAATTTTTATTGGTTTTTGCTTATCTTATTGTTTTTTGGGTGCCGTATAAAACCAATTATAAACATGTACAAATTTAAAAAAATGATAAATGATTGATGAGTTTTTAATGGATCTATATACATGGCGTGCTTTGATATAGATGTTTTTGCATTTAAACACAATAATCATTAGTATCCATATAAACTTTTATGAGCACTATTGAATAAAGCACTATTGAAGATTTAAATATCGGAAAATATTATTTTTTTAACACATCCATAATTTTTATGCTATAATACATATTATTATTTCTAATTTTTCTATTTTATAATTTTTATGCATCATTTATTATAGTTTATACTCAATCGGTGGGTATTTTTCTATTTAGTTTTTTTTTTTTTATAAACTCACATCTATTATTTGATGATTTTCAGGTTGTCGCTCGTGCATCTTCTGGAGAAGAGTTTTTTGGTTCATGCTTCAAGTATATTAGGGGACGGTGATTAAGGTTATAAATCATTTAATTGTGTCAATAATGATTTATTATGCGTCGAGTTATTATAGTAGTTAAATTTCATTTATATTTTGTTGATAATTTAACGTGCTACTGGATTTAGATGCTTCGATGATCGTATTTGTAGAAAAATATTATTAAAATTAAGGTTGTACTTTTTGGAAATAAATTCTTATTTAACTCACCTCAACTTGTAGGGTTTTAGTGATTTTCTTCTCAATTTGGTGGGTAGGGTGAGAACAATTTCATTTGTCATTACGATGATGTGATTGTAGCCGTGGGAGGTAGACCAGTGGAACATCGGTGTTCTTCTTCCTTGATAGTTTTCTCTCATGGTAGTAGTAGTTATGATCTTTTAATATTAATGGGATGTTGAGATCCTTCGATTGCAATGATGGGCAATTATGGTGCTAGGAGGTTTGGGCAGTGGAGCATGTATGCTCTTCTCCCTCATGGGTACTTTTGTCTTATAGTAGGATAGTGATAAAGTAATAATGAGAATGGATTGTTGACTTCATTCATTAACCATCGCTAGGAAAATGCCATCAGTAGAGCATTTGTGGGAGGTTGATTAGTGGATCGTTGGCGGGAAATATTGAACCTTTTTAATGAGTTTCACGATGGTGCTAGTTTCCCTTTCTCCACACCTACATCAAAGAATACCACATTAATACTTACCACGTGACATGCTTCCTTTTTCCGAGCAAACTACTTCAAAGCTATCATTGGCCTTGTAAACACAAGCACATTTAAAAATTTAATAACTAATGAAACAACCTAAAAAGAATAAAGAAATATGAATAACTATTTATTACACTCAAAGAAACTATCATACTTATTTTGATATGGTACATTTTGCTCGTAAACTAGTGCATATTAAAACCATACAAGTAATGTCACATTGAAGCACATGCACACACTCACACCCACACCCATATCCACACGCATGCATGCGCACAATATATGTGTACATGTGCTATATGCGTACATGTGCACACACATCCACACACGTAAGCACATGCGCATGTGCATAGATGCACACACGCACGTTCACACATGCACACGCACACGTGCATGCACACACACACATGCACATAGATGTTATGCATTTCAAAGAAGAAAAATATGATGAATTATGACAAAAAAAGAAAGATTTAAGAAAAAGTAACAAAATTTGCAAAGAAAATCTTTTAAATAGTGTTAAGAGTTTACCCAAAATACTATAAAGATTGCAACTTTCTAGTTGCTTCCTCTTATCTTATATGTACATGAATGAATCTTTTACTTAATTTTGCATGGTGAGCAAGCCTAACGCTCTGCTAAATCTAGTTGACATAAGGGAAATGCTAGGAGATTGCTGAAATTTTGTCTGATTCTACTTGTTGAAAAAAATAAATAAAAAAAATCTTTTTGGACTAAAACATGAAGAAAAATTAAAATATAAATACCTGTCTAGAACAAAAAGGAGAACTTTAAATGCAATGTGTACTAATACAGGATAATATGTAACACAGATGAACTTATAGAGATGTTGAAACTCACGAGCAAAGAATAAAATCTTTCCGTATTCGGTAAATTGAACTTGAACTGTGAAATGTATTTGGCAAGCCCTTCTATTTATAAATGGAGAAAAATTCTAATGAGTTCCACTTGAGTAAAATATGAATTGCATGCAAACAAACTATGACTGTTGAAAATACATGATAGATTCTAACCAGTGACATTCACAACTAGATCTATAACACATACATGCAAGCAGATATAATACATTTATTAAAGTTCAAAATGTAAATTTGCCTGTGTTTCAATGTTAATAAATTCACACAAATAATTTAATATGTACAAATTACATAATATGTAAGTGCATCAAAATATGTGCAAATCTTGTTCTCATATGCTTAAATATAAAAATAAAAAATTATTTTGATGAATAAAAATTAGATAAATTTGATTTTGTCTCACCATTCAGGTTTGTCCTTTATGCGAAGCAGATTGGAGTAGATGAGGCCTTTGCCCTATGATAGACATTCATTTAATATATTTTGAAAAAGGGGTAATTACATGCAGAGCACCCGAAACATTGCTATTTACAAATCTAGCACCCTCTTTTATACATTTTCCATATTCTCACTCAAATATCAAAATTCATTATAAAGCCCTAACCCATATTTTTCATTTTTACCAAATTCTCAGTTGTTCCATCGTGAAAACATAAATACATTGGTTCAGAAGTTCAAAAATAGCACATGCGTGCTATATTTTGTAAATAGTAATGTTTCGGGTGCTATGTATATAATATCCCTTTGAAAAATTACAATAAAGGGAATAATTTTTAATTCTCCCTGTCACTTCAATCAAATAAACTAAACATCATCAAATACTCGTGTCAAATACCTTTTCGTGCATACGTCTTGTAGTTATTTTTTCTTTCATTTGGATAATGCTTTCAAAGCTTTCTAGAAAGAAAATTTAATTTTTTTTAAAATACAAAATTTTGAAGTTATCTTGCTTGTGCAAGAACCGACAAATTCCAACCTAAATATCTTATCCTATACATGTAGGTGTAGTGTGAATGTGGTTCTTGATGTAATAAATAATTAAATTAGATGGATGTGGAAATCATGAACCCTTATGGTCACATATATTACACATCATAGCCAAGTAGGTTTATTTTTCAAAAAATCAAGCTCTTAACTTACAAAGAGAAATGATTCTAACATTCCATTTTGATGATGGTTGCATTGATATAAAATTTCAATCAAAGGAGACCCTATTATCAAAAATGACCTTAAATCTGAAGAAAAATTAAATTGGGCTTATATCTTTATAAAAATACAGAAGTCCAAAAAAACTATAATATAAAAAAAAAGACATTTCATTTGAATTTTTTATCTAAAGCTAACCAGTAAAATTTGATCCATCCCTTACATTAATTTATTGAGAGTGATAAATTTAATAAGATAATCTAAGCTCACAAAGTGTTCATGCCATATCAAGTATATTTTTGAAATCTCTCAAAATCTCATGCCAATAAAGATGTTCTACTTTTCTTTTGATCTAGTAATTTATAACAAAATTGTAATGCTAAATATAATTTTGATTATGACTCTTTGACGAGGTCATTTATTGCAAAATGAAATCATTATATTATGGTGATGCCCAAAATCCCAAAAATTTTTCAATAGCTCAATTTCTTAAGCTGTAAATTATATCCTGCATCTTATATGACAATTTTTTATAGTTATCCTTGCTTTATAAGGTTCTATTGGACGATGCAACCACAATCCTGTGAGTGCTGAGAACGATCTTTCGATTAGCTTGTGTCAACTACTAACTCAAATTAAGTACGTTGGGTCTGTGATAAATTAAGACAATAAAAGCATTAACTTTAATCAGGTTATACCATCTCTCGCAAACCGTTTCGAGCTATGACACTAAATTTTTTCTATCTTAAATCAAATTACTATTATTATAAGATAAATTTTTAGTGATTATCAACTTGCTTTAAGCAAGAGTTCTCTCTTGTTTAGGAGGGGTGAATCATAAGGACTTTATGTCTTTAGAAAATCTCAACTAGATCACAAATTCCTCACAAATTGAGGGTGAAATCTCCGAGTAACATCTTATCTAAAATTCAATTTGTATTCTACATATTTAGTTCAAAACCACTACTCTCACAAAATGGGCAGCATCACGATCGGACCTGGGGCTTGGAAATAAACAAGACAGATATAGACGACCGGATGATGGGAATTAAAATTTTCTTTTTTTTCCATAACTAATTATTAACAAATGAAAGAGCTAATAATCAAATTAAATTAAACAGTATAATTAAATTTACTTCATCACTATTTGTTTCGCATTTTCTATAAAAAAATTTTCTTCTATCGCTCATCTTGTAATCACTTAATTAAACCTGAAATGTTAAGTTAGAACAACAGTAAGCTTAAACAAAGCTAGTGAATGTTTTACCTTCTAAACCACAATAATACTAGGAAAAATTCAGTGAATCTATCTTCTTGGCTTCTCGATCCTTCCGCTTCATTTCTCTTTTTTTTTTTCTTTTGGCTACCCGGCTCTTCACTTCCTCTTCTTCAGTTCTTCATTTCTTTCCCCCCAGATAATTGAAACAGGACATTACAGGCAGTGCTTGAATTTTCAGTGCCAACATTCACACAGATATATCTACCCTTTTGAACATACAAAGCTTCATGCTTTGAATAGTGAAAATTTGGATTCTAGATATGCTACTTTAATTTTGTCTCAGGATATATGTTGAATCCTTAAATTGCAGCTAACATTTTTTATGATGTAATTGTTTTTTATTGTCTTGAATTTTGTTTTGTTGAACAAGGAAACGTCTTGTAGCATATCAAGAAGTGTGAAGGTGTGTCTTCCATCATTAGTTAAATATGAAATTAATATCCTGAGCTACTGGCAAATTAGTGATCTCAGCTATGTAAATTAGCAGGAATCTCCGTAAATTACACATGCTCTTTCAAAATGATGTAGATCAGTTGAGATGTTGCAATTGTGGCTAGTGTCATCTTCCCAGGCGGACCTCATTTTTTTATTATTAAAATTTTATTTCTTTATTTTTGTTACTTCGTTATGCAATCAATTGTTGTGATTTTTTAGGTCCCAATTTTGATCGGTATGGGAGATGTGGGTGTCCCTGTTGGAAGTTGCCTGTTTGCTATGGCAGACCCAAGGTTGCTGAGATTGTTTTCCCTTCAGACCTTCTGGTGTTGTGTAGATATTTTCTTACTGATATCTTTCAGTCTTCTTACTAACTTGCAGATCTGTTAAGGGGTGTGATGTAGGGTCATACTAGGGTCTAAAATTTCTAATCCAGATATATTAAGTGATGCAAAATATAATTTAACAAAACATTTAAAGATTCACATGATGAAGGCTATTACTCCAAAAACAATGATAGAAACTAATGTAGATGAAAGATTTATGGCATTCTATTAAAAAATAACAATTACGATTTAGGATCACTTAGTCACCCACGTAATTGAAATATCATGCAATCGACATAAATCCAAATTATAGCAAACTTTAAACAAAAATGAACTCCTAAGAAGAAAGAGACGTAAAATAAATTCTGGAACAGAAGTCATTATAAACAAACCTCACTGTTGTTCAAGCTTGGAATTCTTCAATTCTCACACTTGATCAAGAATGAAAATATTGGAAGTAAAAAAAACAATTTGTACATATAAAATTTTAGTCATATAATTACTTTTTTTGAATGCCTAAAAAATCTTCTTTATAATCATTAAAACAACACTAGAAATAGCTGCACTAACTTGGTCACGATAATCACATCCATAAGCCACATAAACCAATGAAAAATCATCTGCAGAATACCCCCACTTTTTGCGATAACCTCAATGTGCAGCAGTCGAGGGTTCACTACAATTCTGCTGCAAGTACCTCAGGTCACACTGCAGTCCCGCAATGCATGCAGATGCACGAAGAATCTGCAAGATTGCCAATAGGTTTCAAAGAAGCTGCAAAGAAGTCACAAACTCCAATAGAAGGTAACAAAGAAGCTTTAACAAAGTCACCGGTGCCATTCTTGCTACATTCCCTAAAAAGTAATCTACCTATTGCATTAGTGTTGGCCATATTTTCTTTTTCACATTTGCTATTTCTTTATAACCCACACCATGTCTCATTGCATCTAGTTGAGAATAGATAAGAAATTATTTCCAGGGTTTCACTGCTATGGATGGCTGTTTCTTTTGGAGTTTTCATAGGCATTTTGGTTGACTTATATCTGCTGCTGATCAAGCTGGTGGAGCTGGATATCTTGGTTTTTGATTCCCAGCTATCCCTATTTTATTCTAGCTAAAGGTACAATGCTGTTTGCTATGTGCTCAACTATTGTAAGCAACTGCATGTAAGAGCAAATGGGCTTGGCATGTTATACAATATAAAATTTGTCGTCAACAAATTACTTTATTTATGATTTAAGATCTAAATAAAGTGATTAACAGACTTTAAGATTTACTAATGTGAATCATGTCTTCTTCTTTTTAATTTGAAATCATTTTTCTTGATATGTGGACAATTTATATATTCTAGTTCTGAAACTTGTTCAAATAATCCGTTTTAGGATAGTCTGCTGTCAAAGAGTATTTGTTTTAAGAAAGGTTTCATGATCTAGTTTCCTTGATCAATAGAAATTGTGGCCAAATTACCTTAGTGATCTTACTAGGTGACTTTAGAAAATGAACTTCAAAATTTGAATGTTCGGATATTCTCTGTTCTTGCGTCAATTTTGAAATGACCTTCATAACGTGTTATGAGAGGGCTAGGCACTGCAAAAGTCTACATTTTGGTTCAATCTTTAGGCCATGTGATCTAAAAATTCTCATATCTTCTTTTCTCAAGCTTCTATCGGAGAATTGTTGAACCCTTGTAATTGTTTCTAATCAACCAAATCAGACAGGCAATCCTAGAGAGCAACAAATGCTTGTTTACAGTAAAATCGTAGTGAGGAGCATGTTGTCTGATATTTGCAGCACTAAGAATGCATAGTTCCATGTTTATTATTTTTATGAGGCAGGTGCAGCTTTTCATTGTTTCCATGAACCCTTAATGTCTTCAAGTCATGGTTCATTTGCTTGAATAATCTTTACAGTCAGAGTGCCTTTGAGTGAACTCTATGGCGGGCAGATTATGTTCATCTTCTTTAAATTGGTTCTTTTCCAATTGAGGTCTATTTAGTATTTGTCTTTGACAATTGTAGTATTTTGAAGTGGAGCAGAGAATGAAACGGTATTAACTTAGCTCTGTATTTATTTGCTCAATCTCATTGGCTGTTGTTCAATCCAAGACACGTGAAAATAAAAGTTCTGGCGGGCTGCTCCAGCTTCTAGCTCAGCATGCTGAAGGAACTCGGCCTTGATAAGGTGGGACAATTTCAACTTGACTCAGGGCAAGGAAGTGGATTATATCAACTGGGTTGCAGAACAATTTCTGATTATGTTGGTTGGTGCTTTCTGGAACAGTTGGGCTTGTTTGAAAGTTTATCTTTCATGTGGTGCAGATGATCTCATCTATTTGTTGGAGCCGTCACAGCATTTACTTATTTTACTTGTTTCTGTCCCAGTTATCATTTTCTGAAGCAGTGAGATAATAAGTTAACCAGCTGAGGTTGATGAAGTTGGTATGCACAAGTATAACTTGTGAGGCAAGAAATGCCTTTCTGGTCTTTTCAGGATATAGAACCCTTGACATGCAACAAGATTTCTGAAAATTAGTCAAAGAAGAGCTTTGTCCTGATCTTAGGAGCAGCTACACATCTCTTATTGTCGGGCATTCATTGTGCCCATGAAGCTTCAGTTCACTTACTAAGTTAACAATTTATATGTCCTTTAGTGTTTCAACATCGTGGTGGTTCATGTTTGTTAAGCCATGACAATTTGGCTTTTATTGTACCATTTTTATATATTTTTGATCCAGAATCCTCAGTAGCCGCATCTCCAGAAGTGAATTTTCTTGTTATCTAAGATATTTTTTTTTTTCAGTTACAAGAGGGATTTATGGATAATGTAAGTGAGTTTATTAATGCTTATAGGGCATTATTTCATTAATGGATTTCTATTAAAGCTACTTTACCTTTTGATTAAACTAGTGCTATTATGTTCTCTTATTATATTCAGTTGCAGAAAGGAGATTATGGGTTACAACTTTTGTTCCATTAATGGATACTATTAAAGCTACTGTAAAATTTAACTGAACATGTTCTGTTTACTGATATGAGGACTTGTAACTTTGTGATTAATATTTTAATCTGCATCATGGAACTATTGCAGTGATTGAAAATAGTTATCTTAATAGTAATATACTCTGTTTCTGCTGTTTATCAGTTAAATATTTGCAATAACGATCTGAAGATATCCAACCTACTATTTATCAAGGTTTTGCTTTTTGCAAAATATGTTTATGCATTTAACTAAGGTACACGTGGTTTGTTCACAATGAAAAGAAACTCATTCCTTTGCTTAGAAGATGGGCTTAGAAGAGCCTCACGTTGAATGTGCGATCAAGATGAATTGAAATATACTCAATATGAATGAAAAGCGATGTGTGATCATGAAGGATCAGAATAAACCAAATAATAGATTCAATGGAAGGTGGATTGAGGGTGTATCCTGAAGATTTTCTTGAATGATATGATGATTAAATATGATTGATTTAGTTTGTGGGATCCGGGTTTTGTATGGTTGCAGAGCTAATTTCATAAAAGGTGTGATCACTGTTTTTAAAGTGTAACGTGATGCATAAGGGTTTATTCCTGCTTCAAATCACAAAGCTAAACGATACTTTATTAACTAAAGTGCTTACTTGTGTAAAAATAATAAATATAATGGTACTTTAACTGAAAACTCTTCCTTTTTTTTTTAATTCCATTGAAGATATATGTTACATATATATACACACTCTCCTAATCTAATGAGATTAGGAATGTCTCTAATAGACGAAAGAGTTTTGTAATTAGATCTCCTCTAGTTTGTTTTTCTATTTTCATGACGCTCCCCCTCAGGCTGGAGCATAAATATTTATCATTCCCAACTTATTACAAATATAAGTTACCCTAGCTCCACTAAGGCCTTTGTGAAGATCACATAGTTGTTCTCCAGTATTTACATGAGCTCTAGAAATCAAATTTTGTTGAATTTTTCCGAACAGAATGATAATCTATCTCAATGTACTTAGTTTGTTCATGGAAGATAGAGTTTGAAGCAATATGGATTGCAACTTGGTTGTTACACCACAACTTTGTTGAAACTGTCATCTTAAAACCCAGTTTGGCCAACAATTGAGAGATCCACATCTATTCACTTCAAGCATTCATCAACGCTCGATACTCAGGTTGTGCATTTGATCGTGACTCTACATTCTTTTTCTTACTTTTCCATGAGATAGAATTACCACCAATATACACACAATGTCCAAGATTGGATATTCGATCAACCAGTCTGCATCAGAAAAATATATATTTCTATGCATACGATCTTGATATAAAATAACTTGTTCAGGAGTTTCCTTGAGTTAACATTGTATTTATTCTAAAATAGACCAATGATGGACTCTGGGTGAAGACATAAATTGATTTATAGTGCTAACTGAATACATAATCTCAGAATGAGTTATTCTGTGCTAGTTTAGTTTTCCCACTAACTTCCTATGTTGTTCAAGATCATAAAAAAACTCTTCATCATTGATAAATTGCTGATTAGGAAGCATCAGAGTACTGCATGGGTTGACCCCTAATTTTTCATTTTCTGCTAACAAATCCAACACAAACTTTGGTTGAGATAAAAAAATACCCTTCTTGCTACTTGATACCTCAATCTACAAGAAATATTTTAAGAAACCCAAATCTTTAGTGTTGAACTAATTTTGAAGTAATGATTTTAATGATAAGATTCACTGCACATCGCTTCTAGCAATAATAATGTTATCAACATAAACTACCCATAGAATGATTGCTAAAGTAGATTGCTTATAGAATATAGTGTGAGCACTTCTATTTCTCTGCATTCCAAACCCTTCTATTGCTTAGCTAAATTTTTCAAATCATGCTCGAGCACTTTGCTTCAATTCAGATAAGAACTTTCGAAGATGAAATACTTTCCCAGACTCCATGCAGAAATGCATTTTTCATATCTAGCTAGTGCGGTGGCCAATTTTTCATTGTAGGCAAGGACAGGAGTAGACGAACCGATGTTAACTTAGCAATCCGAGAGAATGTGTTTTGCTACTTGATCCGATAACTTTGGGCATAGCTCTTAACAACCGACCGAGCTTTGAGACGAGTTGCAGAACCATCAGAATGAAACTTTACTGCAAAGACCAACTTACAACTGACAATCTTCTTGCCAGAAGGTAGCTCAATTAATTCCCAAGTTCCATTATAATGAAGACATTCATCTCATTAAGCATCGCTGACCGTGACTCAGAATGGGATATGGCTTGTTGAACATATCTAAGAACCTCAACAGAGTCAAGAGAAGCAACAAACAAGCAAGATTTGGAAGTGGAAATGGGATATGTGCATTGAGGTTTACCTCTTCGAAGAGCGATGTATAAATCAAGGTTACTAGGAGGAGGATCCACTGTGGAAGATGATACTGGTGCCAGACTAAAGAGCAGGGGAAGGAGATCTTCTCGAGTAAACATAAGATGCACTAGAGGTGGAGCTGGAGTATGATTTGAACTTATGATGTGATACATTAACAACTCATCTGAATTTTGTGAGACACCAATGAGTTAAAAAAATGGGGTTTATCTTGAAACGTGACATCGGTAGAAATGATGTACCTGTTTAAGAGGGGAAAAACATCAATGTCTTTTCTACAGTTGAGAATATCCTAGAAATACACGTCTTAATGACTTAGGGTCTATTTTAGAAACTTGTTGACAAGTATCACAAACAAAACAAGTGCATTCAAATATCCACTGTTCAATAAGAAAGAAAGATTTAGTTGGAAATAAAACTTTATAGGGTGTATGGTTTTGTATAACAGTAAATGACATCCGATTGATCAAAATACATGCGGTAGAAATGACATCAACCCATAACTATTTAGGCACGTTTGTTTGAAGAAAAAAAGCTCTAGCCATCTCAAGAAGATGTATGTTTCATTTTAGCTTTTCCATTTTGAGATGGAGTATCAACACAGGATGACATGTGAAACATCTCGTTTTGTGGGTGTCTGAAAGTGTTGATTTTCTACATGCCAGCTAAAATTAAGTACAATGTAATGGAGAAACCATCATTGATAAATGTGTGTTTGTTTGATTATGGAAAACCAATGTCTTCTCAATTTGTTGTATATGGCAACTAATTAACTAATTTACGCGGCTTCACCTCTACTTTTTTCAAGTCCATCGCGACCAAATACACTTATAGGCGTTAAGTTTTGTATTCAGGATAAAGGATGCATTGATAACCGTGTACAACTGGACAGTATAATTGGGAATTCAAATGCCTGTTGTTTCTTCTGTCAATTTACCTGCAGGAGTTTCATGAGTTTGATTTTAAGGTATTCAAAGGAATGGTTGCTAGAACCATAAGAAACACAGCAGTGAAAGGTTAACGAGTTCAACATTCATTTGCCTCTATCTGGATGGCCACTTCCTGTCTTTATCCTCCTAAGTTAACCTTGTTTCTCTTTTAAGGAAGATAGCAAGGAGCATGATGGTCATATCCTCTTTTTGATTGTGAGGTTTGCTGCTTAATATTTCTATTGCGAGTCCTTTTAAATATTAATATTCGCCTGGTATACTTATATTTTGTTCATGTATATATTCTTCTATTATATTCCCAATTAATATATTTAGTTGATATTCAGATATTATATGGAGGGGTATGCAAGTCAAGGTGAGGGTTTTTGTGGAATTATTGCTTGCAAATATATATATATATTTTTTACTCATCACCTTCACTATTAAGATGTAAATCAAGCTTCTGATGATTAAATAACTTAGGAATTAGCTCAGGTAGTAGACAAACATTCAGCTATGAAAATTGTGAAGCTGGCCTCTCGATGCAAATCTATCAATCATCATGGAACCATTTACCAAACTGTACTTTCAGCAAGAGTGATAGCAAGGGATATAAATGAGTAATACAAGGCCCATGATCGAATTCTGATACTTTAAATTTGATTAGAAACTGGAACATAATGAGACACATGACTGGCTCTCTTTGGAACGTCTTAATGTTTCCGTAAACCCTAAACCGTAATCCCGAAAAATAAATTATTCCTCGACGCACAACTTAGATTGCAAACACTTTGTTCAATGTAAGCTGCTATATCTTATTTATCAAGGCACTCCTTTCAATAATCATCAAAATTTGCAATTAGAAATAACTTTTTGATTATATAACAATATTTATTTCTTGTTGTGCTAAGCTCAGTTCTATTTGGTAAGAGCCTTTGACTGTTGTAGTGCGAAGATTCTTAACTGGTATTCCTGAGATTTTGGAGATGAATAATATGGAGCCTTAGTCTCCCTAATCCTGGATTAAGTTTGGGTAATTTCTATACTTTATTACTTTTTTTCTAACCAAATGGCATTTTCTGCATTTTTCTTATGACAACTTTGATGAGTAGAGAAACAACATTTCATTTAGGCAATTGCAATTTCATCCTTCCTGAAAAAAACCAAATCAGCTGCCAGTGCATCAGGTTCTATGGCTCATCATGGTAATATCCCAAGTTCAAACACAAATTTCTTAAGTTCAGATTTCGATACGTTGAACTGCAGAATGGCGAACACGGGAGTATCATGTGATCCCTATATGCACCATTTTCCTGTGGGCAGACCTCCAATTCCTCGTATTTATACACATGGTGCTTACTATGGTCAACTTGAAATTGGAGGCTCAAGTAGCATCAGCAACTCCGAAACAGACTATGAAAGGGCGTATTTTAAAAGAAAATCCTTCGCTCATCCCGTGGTTCTTGATGCAAGAAATTCAAATGAACATCACAGTGCTAGAAGCTCAGACGGAGTTTCAATTACATCAGATCAATATATTCCAAACCCAATTTTAGAGCCTCATAACCATAGTTCAATTAGCATGCTTTCCAAATATACGAGCAATAGTCCCTCAACTATTGGCGAAGGATTGGGGTCTAATCGAAATGTTAGAAGCAGGCATGGTCAGGCCTTTCATCTTCAAAACAACTTGGTTAGCCCTCATCCATCAAGCAACCTGTCTCGTCATTTTCCGCAAAATACAAGCATTTTAGGCCATGCAGCCATGTCGTCGGATTCCGGTAGGAGATTTTCTTCTTCAGGTATGTAATGTTCTATATCGAGTAAAGTGCCAGAATAGTTGCATGACTATTTATTACATGGAGGCCATTTTAGCCCCAGACTTTATAAAAATGCCAATAGTCTCTAGACTCTTGGAAAATGGGTTAAAATTATCTCTAGAGAGGATTTCTTAGCCTCTATTAAAATAGTACGGGGACTAAATTGACACTTTTATAAACTCTAAGACTAAAATGACTCCTCACAAAGAGTCAGGGGAACATTTGGACACTTTCCCATCCTTTAAAGTTTTAAAATAGTGTCCTGACTGTTTTATATTGGACAAATTTAGTCTCAGAGTTTAGAAAAATGTTAAATTAGTCTCTAAACTCTTTTAATATAGGTTAAAATAGTTCTTGGGGAGGATTATTTTAGCACACTTAAAAGAGTCCGAGGACTAAATTTGCACTTCTATGGACTTTGAGGCTAAGTTGACCCCCACAAAGAGTTACGGGACTATTTTGACACTCACCGCATTCTATATCATGTATTTACGATTTGTTTGGTGGTGTGAATAATTTTGTCATCTTCCTGAATGCGAGCTGTAGGTTTTTTCCTTCAAGAAATGAACCCGCCCATTGAAAGCAGTGGAGTTGACAGCACTACGGAAACTGCTGAAGAATTTTCCTATTTTGTTTCGAGCCGGCATAGAGATGCTCTAGTGTCAACCCTTCTTGATACTCCAATGCAAGATGACATTAACTATGGGCACAGACTAAATGCTTACAGTTCTACTCCAAGAAATACTACTATAGAAGATGTTAGGCAGTTTGGAAATGAAGTTTTTCCTCATTCAACACATCATAGACAATCATGGATGCCTGCGCAAAGTAGTGAACGCTACGGACGAGCGAGAAGTTCTTATGATAGTTTAAGCTATAGAATGAACATGCTTGCAAATGAGGGGCATACTCATGGTAGATGGAATACTGAGGTGATCTTCCTTTAATTGGATAGGAGTATTTTCTTAAAAGATTTGTACTCATTTAAGCCAAATTAATAGTTTTAATCTACAAACAAGCACTCATACATGTATGTAGAAACATTAATATATGTATGCCTTCTTATACATTTATAGTTGAAAATCTCGTTTTAATATTGCGTTGGCTTGATTGAATCTTTAGACCTGGGTCAATTCATCTTCCATCTGACACAAAATTGTTTGATATTTGAGCTGCATTTACATGATGCACTTCATTTTTTGTGATATTTGAATTAAAGCTGAAATGTTTTTTAACTGGATCCAGTCTTGGGATTCAAATTTTAGTAGGATGTGCAGTAGTGGACTTTTTCTTAACTGGGAAATTGACTTGCATACCACATAATTCTTATGTATTTACATTTCTAGCATCCAAAATTTGATATTTTCACTTATTATATCTTGGTATCATAAACAGATGCATTATTTCATTTTTGAGAACGTAGTTATGGTGGTATTTCTGATGGGATGTTAAAGATTTAAGTGGTGTGCACATAAATATGAATGTTTCACTGTTATATGTAAATATATAAGAATTGTGTAGTATGTATGTAAATGCCTCCCATTTTTTTTTTCAAATTTTATTAAACTCATAAACAAAAGTTGATTCTTTAATTATTTTTTCCTCTTTCTGATTCAGAGCTTCTATAACTTGGGCTCACAGAATGCAATGATGATTGATAGCTCAGTGTTTAATGACCCTCATGCTATGTTTGATCAGCATGGGAATATGAGAATGGATATAGACAACATGAGCTATGAGGTTAGTGATCTTCTCCTTATATAAATTTAAAAATGGAAGCTTTGCATACATACCACCTAATATTTACATTCCAACACCGAAGCTTTGACTTTTACACATGCCACCTTAAGCATGAAAGGTGTAGTTCACTTTTTAAAAGTTAAAAGTGGTAATTTTGACATGATATGAATGACTTCGGTTGTATAAGTGTATAAAGTAAAGCTTAGGTCTTAGATATGTAAATACATAGGAATTGGAAGGTATGCATTTAAATGCCCCTTTAAATATTGATGATTCATTGTCCAAGCATCTGCTGTTTGATTCAGGAACTGATAGATCTAGGTGAAAGAATTGGAACTGTAAGCACTGGCCTCTCTGGAGCTGATATTGCGAGGTGTTTAACTATTATAATATACTCTTTCGACCGGAATCAAGATGCAGAGAAAGGGAGCTGTGTGATTTGCCTAGTGAGAACTATTATTCTACCTTTTATAGTGAACTTTACATACATACCACACAAATTTTATATATTTGCATATCTAGCACCCACAGTTTGATTACTTTGATAGTTACACTGCATGAAAAGGTGTTTCAGTTTTTAAAAGATAGTAACGGTAATATTTTTGATGTGATTAGGAAAACTTGAGTGGTATGCATGTAAATATGAATGTTTAGGTATTAGATATATAAAAAAACATAAAAAATCCGGTATGTATGTAAAGGCCCCCTTTGTTTTAAGAAACTTTTCTTCATTCTGCTACTATATTTTGTACTTTAAACTTATGTTAGGAAGAATACAAGGATAGGCAGAGCATTGGGAGACTTAATTGCAGACATGATTTCCATTCCAGATGCATCAAGAAATGGCTTCTTATTAAGAATGCGTGTCCAGTCTGCAAATCTGCTGCTTTAGGCGACAAATTAAGGGGCAAACAGCTTCTGTTGTGATTTTAGCAAAATGCTTGGACTTTCTGTCATAATAATCTCATTCGTTTAAATAAAGATCATTGGCAAATTCAAATATTTATAATTTCCCAAATGTAAGTGGTGTTTATTATATTGGGCATCTAGCTAAGTTATGCTTTTATTCATTCATTCACATCTAGCTAAGTTATAACTTACAAAAAGATTTTTCTTCACATCAGGATTAAGAAAAATCTGCGCACTTTATCTGCCTACAAGTTATATGTATTTATGCATATAACATCTAAATTTTAATTTTATGTATATGCTAACTTACTAATACATAAAAATATAAATTTCACTTTTTGCAAGTTAAAATAGTGGTATTTTTTATTTGATATGAAAGATTTGCGTGTTAGAAATGTAAAATGTAAAATTTTAGGTTTTAGATATGCAAATGCATAGGAATTGAGTTGTGTTTATGTAAATGCCCTTAAATTCGAACACTAAAGTTGAAAGACAAAGCCATGTATTGCTGTTACTTTTAATTTTCTGAGCTTTTTTCCCATTGCATTTGTACTACAAATTAAAAGAGTGATTACATACATGGCATACAATTTCTATGCATTTATATTACTAAGATTTGATATTTATATTTATAAAACTTTAATTTTATTATAGTGAATGGTAATAATATTTGAGTGCTATATATATGTATATGAAAGATGTATAAGATACGTGACTGTTAAGAATTTTGCGACATATATGTAATTGTCCCTTTTTTTTTCAAGTGCAAGCAGTTTTATGATTGTTAGTACTTTTTTGTTCTTCAATTTTGCATCTCTAGTCCATGTAAATCTTTTTTTATCATTTAGGATAGGAAAAAAATAATTATTGTTAAAGTTTGAATAAGAATAATTATATTTTTATAGGGATAAGCATAAATATCAATTTAAATATATGAATAGCAAAAGAAGATTTTCATTCCATGGCTAGAATAGGCATTGAATATGAAATGGTTGTTAGGAGATGTTAGACTTAAAATTATGGTCATTCTAAAATAAGAAGGGGTTAATAGTGCATACACCACAGCTGTCAACACGATCTCAAAGCATTCAAATGACGAAAATGACAGCCAGACAACCAAGGCGTTCTATCGCGCTATTGCCAACCACATAGTCAAGAATAGTCTCACACATTATGGTGAGAGATGTGAATGGTAGACCATGCCGACAGTCCCGACCGACTAGGGCGAAGACGAGAATCCTTGATCGCGGTTAATTAGTCGAACCTTACTTTACCGCACCAAACGAGATCAACACTCAACCAGGCGGCTCGGTCAATCAACCCATAGCGCGGTCGTCACTCAGCTGGTCACCTCAGTCGGCCGAGCTCGAGTAAGTTGACTGGTCAAATTACCATATTAAAATTCAAATTATAATACCTATATAGTTTGAAATCGATACGATTAATTAGAGCATCAATTGCATTAAGGCTGTTTTCCGTAACTATTCCCTCCTTTATGTAATTGTACAAAGTACATCTATGTAAATATGAGGCAAAAATAAGAGTAAAGGGACATTTACCGACTCTCTCTACAAGAAACACTTGACTTCTTATACTCTCTTTCTCTCTTTCTTCATTCACTGAATCCTAAACTCTCAAGGAGTGTTCACAAAGGATAATTTAAAATTCAACATCCTAAACGGTGGTGCGGTGAGCGTGGATATGCTATAGACGAGAAGTGGAAAACACTACGAATGAGAAACTTCTCAAAGAGAGATATCACACATGGAACCCAATAGAGATGCTACACAACCAGACGTCCATGCACAAGTCCATGACTTGTAAGCCCAAATGACCCTCATGATGGAGAAATTTGAGATCATCCAAGTAGCAATCACCCAGGAAACGAACAACCACTCTGTTTAGAGGCGTAACCTCAGAGGGTCCATCTTTGAAGACCCCCAATTCCATAGAATCAAGTCAGCAACAAGAAGATGGAGGGACAAGGCGAGTCCCACCACAATGACTCAGCTGCGTCTGCGCAAGCAAACAAATAATGGGAAGAGCGGCTGGAGAGCGGCTGTTAGTGTGTGTCTGATTACTGATTGGAAGGGCTTTTACGTGCTAAATTAAAGAAGCGGTACCACCGCCAAAGCTAAGAATCCCTTTCCTAGATTCTTACAAGGGAAGGATCGATCTGATCGACTACATAACATCATTCGAGTCATCAGTCAGTTTTCTCCAGATCGATGACCCCATACTGTGTCATCTCTTCTTGACCACCCTAAAGGAATCTCCCCTTCGGTAGTTCAACGGCCTGCCGACCGACACCATCCCAAGTTACTATGATATCAAAAGACTCTTCATTTCGCACTTTTCAAAAGCATAGAAGCTGAGGAAAGACTCAGTCACTCTGCTTAACCTCAAGCATGGAGAAAACAAGAGCCTGTGGGCTTACATAACCCACTTCTAGAATAAGATGTTGAAAGTTAGGAATAGCCAGAACAACTTTGAAATGAGGAGTCCAAAGCAAGTAGTTCATGTATGACCTACACTTGTTTAAACATACTACTTTGGTAGTGGTATTAGAGATTGCGAACGAGCACATACTCATTGAAAAAAGATCTATAGGAATCCCAAAATGGTAAGCCAAAGTTGACCGAACATTGCTCAAAAAAGCAAAAGGAACAAGGCAAACCACTAAAGGCGAAGGACAATCAATCCTTCACCGGTCTCCCGAACAAAAACTCTCGGTCCCAAGATTAGCGAGGGAATGATCAAGGGCACAATGCCTAGAAGAGGTGCTTTAATCAATAGTTAGCCAAATATTATGAGTGACCGCATGTTTACCAGAAAATTCAATGTTTAACACCTCTCAATGTGTCAGTGGCCGAAATAGTCCAGACCATTCAAAATAAGGACTACTTCAAATAGTCCTAGCCGCTTAAGGTGGCCCCAACCTTACAAGATTGGAAGTGATATTGCCAGTATGATCGTGACCATGGCCATGACACGGAGGAATGCCATAACCTTCAAAATTTGATTGAGGAACTCATCACTCTAGGAAGCTCAAAGAGTTTGTTGTAGTCGACACGTACACACAACGATAGAGCAAAGCTCTAGCAGAAGAGCCCTCAAATGGGCTAATTTAGGTGAATGAGATCAATGTAGTAGAGATAACCCATCCATCTCCAGGGGAGGACCTCGACCCTCCAGCTTGAAAAGATAACTTTTAGAAGAGGAATGTTCCATCATCCCATATACATGTAACAATTTGCCAATTGTCTTCACAGATGCAGATCTCCTACTAAAGGGGAATCCCTACAATGGAGCAATCATCATCACAACAGTGATCATCAACTACCAGGCGGACATTATTCTCATTAATACAGAGAGTTTTATCAATATCCTATTCAAGACTGTGTTTGATAGGATCAGCTTGAGGACTGACCGACAGATAGCACCAGTCGCCCCCTTGTTTAGATTCTCCAGGGAAAAAGAAGGTGTTGGGTCTCATTTCCCTGGCCATCCCTTGAGGAGAACCATGGAAGAAATATACTAGAACATAGAATTTTCATGTGGCTGAATTCCCTCTGATCTATAGTGCTATCTTTGGTCGGTCACTACCGAAAAACTACCAGGCTTCTACCTACCATGTGGCTGTAAAATTTTTGGGAGATGGAGAGGTGATTATGGTCAAAGGAACATAAAGTAGTTTAGAAGCTACTATTTGAGAGCAGTTTTGAACATTGACCATTAACTTCTTGATATCCAAATTTAGAGGGCAGAGAGTCTCGAGACCATCCTTTAAGTATCGATATACGACGAAGAATCTGGTAAGATCTTCTTAATTAGTGAGTTTTTTGATGTAGGACTCATGGACTAACTGATACGAATGCTTTGGAAGCACCGAGAAGTGTTTTCTTGGACTACAGTGGAAATGCCAGGAATGTTAATTGACATAGCATGCCACCGGCTAAACATCAACCCCTACTCTCAACCAATCTAGCAGAGAATTTGATCGACCACCAGAACTTGAGCCGAACTAATAGTGGCTGAGTTGCAAAAGTTGCTAGACGCCAGCTACATCTGCGAAGTCCAACACTCAACTTGGCTCTCAAATGTTGTGATGACCAAGAAAGCCAATGACAAATGACAGATGTTTGTCAACTTCACTAGTCTCATTGTCGCTTATCTGAAAGACACCTACCGCTGACAAAGATTGACACCACGATGGTTGCAGCTGTCGGATACTCAGTAATGTGTTTCCTTGACGCTTAAAGAATGCACCCGCTGATGCAGAAAAAAATGGCATTTATTACTGCATAAGGCATAATTTATTTTAATGTAATGCCCTTCAGGCATAATAATGTTGAGACGACCTATCAACATTTTCTTGGATGCAATTTTTGCCAATAAAAAAAGGAAAGAACATTGAACTGTATGTTGATGATGTTCTAGTTAAGAGTAATACAACCAAACAACACATTAAAGCTCTGAAAGAGACTTTCAAAGTACTAAAAAAATTCATTATGAGATTGAACCCCTCTAAGTGCACCTTTGGAGCATTGACCCGAAAAGTTCCTCGACTTCATGTTGACTCCTAAAGGGTTAAAAGACAATTCAAGAAAAGTTCAAGCAATCCTAGCCATGTCGCCCCTGAGTAGTACCAAGTAGGTTCAGAGACAAATCAGTTGAATAGTCGGGCTCAGTTGTTTCATCTCGAAGTCAGGTGACAAGTGTGTGGCGTTCTTCAAAATGCCAAGGGAAAATCAACGTTTCGATTGGATGACCAAATGTGAGGAGGCATTCTAAATTTTAAAAAGTTTCCTAGTGTCACTTGCACTACTCCAGAGCCCAAAGCTAGCAGAAGAGCTGTCACTGTACCTAGAAGTCAGACGGGAGGCTGTAAGCTTAGTTTTGATATGAGAGGAGGTGGGAAAATAATATCCAGTTAACTACATGAGCCGAGTACTTCATGGCACTGAAATTAGGTACCCAATTATGTAAAGCCTAACTTTTGCTTTGATTATTTCTGCTTGCATGCTTTGACCGTATTTTTAGATGCATCCGATCTGGGTCATCACGTACCATCCAATAAAATTTGTGCTCGCTCAACCAAAGCACTCCAAATGACTGCTAA